ATTACAAGTTACAAATGATTCATATTTTAGATGTTGGCCTCGATGCGGTTCATTTGTGCTCAAATTGCAGCACTTCTTAAAGCACTCTTCTTCCATCACTGCTGTTGAGACATAACGTGGGTCGACTTTGTGAGAAGAATCAGAAAGAAAGAAATCAGTCTCTGTTGTCTTCAACAGGAAACAACCGAAGATTCAAGTTTCTCGTTGTTGCACTTGAAGAAAAGAATTCATAAAATGATTCTCTCACAAAACTTCTAAAAAACTGCACGAGTGAACGCAAACAGACACATTTCTACTCCGACTTTATCTGGAATTCTTTAGCCGGCAGCCCCCTGATCATTTTTCTGCATGAAGTCGGGTTAGCTGATGTGAGAACGCAGCAGGAAGTATTCAGGTAAATTCACTGTGAGGGAGCAAGAGGGGGGTGGTAACGTTTCTACCTCAGGACCCGTGCACAACCAGAGACTGTATGACCGCGATATGTGTGATCTCTGTGCACGTTATTAAACCGCTGCCTTAAGTTTTCTGTCCTCCAGTATGTACAAAAAAACTGTCATCATAGAGTTGGACTCTGTTGCTCTGTCCACCACCTCTGACTGCCTGAAAATAATGAAGACTTTCAGTAGTGCATGAGTGAAAATGTCTTTATTGAGGCTGAAGAACGTTTAGGATTGTTGTGTTTTGTCCACAGAGCTGAATGATTTTTGTTATTATTTCAAACACTCTTTTCTCTGGTGCTGATTTACTGTGAAGAGATGAACTCACTCCTGCTCCTGCGTCTCTTCCAGGGCTCCTTCTTGATCACTCAGGCTGTGGCTCAGGCTCTGGTGGCCTGTGGAGCACCCAAAGGATCCATCATCACCGTGGGCAGCATCGTAGGAAAGGTGAGAGAGCTGCAGAGAGACGCTTTCTAGACGACAGTTTCACTTCTCTGTTGAATCTTTTAAGGTTTCTTTTCAAATGTATGAACATAAGTGTGTAAGGACCTGGTGTGTGAATGTGATCACTTACTTGTGATGGACTCTTTACTCAGCAGCCTCTACCATCAGTGTGTGAATGTGTAGGTGTGACACGTGTTGTAAAAGCCCTTTGAGTCGTCAGAAGACTAGAAAAGAAATATACAAGCTCAAGTCCATTTACCATTTATCCTGAAGTTCATGTGGCAGCGTAATGATTTCTCTTTATTTATTGAACAGTGATCATCCGTCCATCCATCCACCTTGTGCTCGTAGCCAATAAAGGGTTAAATGGTTCTTGGATCCATGTGTTTGAATGTTCACACCAGCTGGAGGTTCACTGGTTCAGCATTTTAAAGACATTCACTCACACTCATTACTTTTAGTGATCCTTTTTTACGACTTCTTTGATCGAATGTCGCCTCCACAAACTCTGAATTATTAATCAGTCGTCTTTAAATCGTCTACAAAAGGTCGGAGAAATGCACGGATTGAAAACAAGCTGGTGAGGATGGAAACAATCAAAACACCAAACATGACAGGAACCTCAAACATGTTCACACAACCACACAGGGTTAGAAACAAACACACACCTGAATCCTGATTCTCTGCACCTGTTCACCTGTCACTCCCCTTTCTAGCTGCGTGTGGCTGATTACCCATGATGCCCAGGTGCAAAGGTGACGTAGCAGCAGCAGCAATAATAACCAAACTCAGCACACACACTATAGCACACATCAAACTGGCTCCAACAAATGTTTTTATATCATCACAATGTAGATGTTACTGAACTGAGCGGCTAATTTAAATATCTTTGTTCAGACGTTTCAGAACATGTGAATAATCCGTCTATAAGATCAACAAAGTAAAGATCATAAAGTTTATTGGAATCAAACTAAATGTTCCCACAATGGTAGCTACAGCTGTGTAAGTGTTTCCATGAATGTTGAAGTGAAGAAACACACAGACATTTGGAGTGTGAGGGACTTTATTGAACAGATCATTTACAGTACAAAGGTATGAAACAGCAGCTCAACACCACTAGTTAACTTAACCCAACACAGGAAGTGATTCTGAGAATTCATCTTCCACTTCCATTCACAAAACTCAGAGAGAAAACATCCCTCGTTCCTGAACACGAGCAGGAATTATATACAAGATTTCAACTGGATAGCTGAGACGCCTCCCACAAACAGTTTAGGATCTCTGATCAAAATAAAACAATAATTAGAGCTGTCAGCATTAACGAGTTCATCACGATTAATCTCATCTTATTTTGTCCCTTCAGGCTCTCCGTAGATAGTGGTCCTCAGTGTCTCCCTGTAGTCTCACTGATGTAAAAGAAGAACACTGCTGCATCTTTGAATGTCTCATTTCACTTTAACAAACTCTCAGACAGTAATATCCACCTGATGACATCACACATTGACCTGATGACATCACACATTGACCTTGACATCACACATTGACCTTTGTCACCGTTCCTTTGAGCTGTTTGACCTCACTTTAGGATCCATAACCACTTCCTGTTTCTGTGTTTTAGTTCATGTCCTAACCTTCCATCTACAGGAAGCTCCTTACTCTATTTCAAAATAAAAGCAGGGCTAAATTCAAACAGCAGGTAAAGTACTCTCAGCTTAAGACAGTACAAATGTTTCAAAATAAAAGCCCAACAATTTATTTCAAACGTGAAAATCAAAAATGTGATTAACTTTTTAAATTTAGAAATTAATCGTGATTAAAAATTGTCATCGTTTGACATCTCTAATAAAAATGTTTCAAAATAAATCAAAAGAGGAATATTATGAAAAAAAAAAAAACATTCTCCTTATCTGTTAAAAAAACTCAGAGACAAGAATTATTATTTGCTTTGGTTTGTTAGTAATAAAAACAAAATGTATACAAAATGTACAAGCAGACTATTTACACAACTGGAAGATGAATCTTGAACTGATGATTTTATTTCACGTGTGTGATCATAGGGAGGCCTTTTAAAGACGTGGAAGGAACCAGATTGAATTATTATCTGTGTTTGGTACAAATTTAAGACAGTTCACCACTGAGATGAAACTCCACTCGTCTGTTTTTATTCTGGCTCATCTTGCAGAGAGTTACGGTGACTGCAGTGTGAGAGAGGTGGACTCCAGTAACACACACAGACGACCTTCACTCTGATTGTTCCTGAGCAAAATGTTTCAAGAAACCTGCAGAGATGAAGACGGTCAAACCGAACAATCATTTAACACATCAGTGTTTGGAGAGATCAGCTCTACAAAGCTACATATTTACACTGATTTCAACCTCACACAAGTTTAACAAAGAAGCTTCTTTAACAAGGCGTTTAAAACGGCGTTTTTAACAGTGAGAATGGTCCACGTCCCGTAGAGAGAAACTCACAGGGTGCAGGGTGGTGTGTTCATCATGTAGGCTCTGGATTCAGTTCTCAGCGAGCTCAGAGCTGTTTTCAGGAGACGTTTCACATGAGGCTGAAATACAAAAACAAAGACGGGTCGTTTTAGTTCTCACGTAGGTCAGAAAGCCAGAAAATCATTTCTTCCCCTTTTCTAGTAACTTAACTCCAGGATTTAAACCTTCAACTGACACATGTATCTCGACTTAAGCACACAGCTCACTTTGTCTCGTGTACTAAAATTAAATAAATAAATAAAAACATCAAACAAACAATATTAAATTCATCTCTCTTTCTTAGGGGGGTTTTACATCAGGGTCCCAGGCCCGGATCTAAGTCCAGATCCGAGTACACTGGACCCTAAAGTCCGGTTCATTTGATCAGTGTGAACACAAACATACCGTACTCGTACTGTACTCAGCTACCGTGCCCGAGTCCGCTTGGTCCGTGTGAGATGTGAACACAACCGTGCTCAAGGAAGTGGACCGCGATACACAGAACAATGTTACTAATGTGGGGACCATCGGGGAGAGGGGAGGGGAGGATAATCCTGCTCGGGTACTGTACAAAACAATCATGCCTGATGTGAAAACGCCCTTAAAAGTCATAAAATACGACACAGCTGGAAAACTTCCTTACTGTTTGAAACAGATTTTGATACAACAGGTATTAAAGTCTTAAAGGTGCAATATGTAGATTTGGTACTGAAAGTTGAAAGTTGGAGAAGTGAAACAATTCTCTGTTATATTTCCTGAACTGAATACACAAACTTTACTCAAAAGAAAAATGGGTCCCTGGAACTCTGTTTGGAGCTAAAAAGCTACCAGGAGAGTTACAGTGTCACTGTTGAAGCCCCCCACCATAACTTCTCTCAGAGCATTTTATCTTCAAACATTGTTCCTCTGAGGACAGTTTGTGTATAGAGTTATGAACATATACCACAGAATCTGTACATTTCTTCAACTTCCACATTTCTCTACAAATCTACAAAGTGCACCTTAAATACTCAAAGAATAACATTTAAAAACTTAAAACACCAAAAAGAACAAAGTTTGTGTCTCTTACATTTTCTGCCTCTGTATTTCTTGTATCCAATGACAGCGAGGCCGAGAAGAACGAGTGCAGCGATGATGGCGATGATGGGGATGACGGTGTTCATGGGATTCACTGTTGAGCACAAATCAACAAACCACAGTTACAACCTGTGCAGATGAAGCAGGTTAGAGGAGGAGAACATGTGCCAAGCAGACAATCATCATCCTGTAAATAAACACTGTTTGTCCTGCTGCTCTTCATTTGAATCTCCACTTGTCTGTAAATAAATCCTGTATCTATGTTTGATTCATCTTCCAGTCGTGTTGTCGTCCTTTATCTGAATGCTGATTTCTTTATATGTTGATGTTTCGCTCTGAGAGATTTACTGACAGATATATTTATACATCCAGTAATTCATCAACTTGATCTTCTCTTCAACTAAAGGAAGAATGAGTGACTTTTTGATCCAGTAGATGTCGCCCTTGAGCAAACCAAAACAAACTGCTGTTTGGCCACGCCTCCTCCACACTCAGAGACATTCACACAGGATAGACTGGATTTCTGATATATTTATGTGTAACATGTCACACATTCATCCTTTAAAACTTTAACTTTGAGAAGTCAACACAGTGCCTTTAATCTCTCAAAATAAACATGTTTGACTTTTCTTCAACAACAGCACTCTAACTGTGTTTGATTCAATCGTTTTCTTGATGGATTTAAAAACTGAAAACACTAAAAAATAAAATCTAAAGAGAAACTGAAATGAAATGATGTGGCTGTAAATGAAAAGAGATGCTAACATGTGAATCATGATTTTTCTCCCTGAGATCTGAGATCACGATTCTCTCACATGATTCTTTTTTTTTTTTTTTCAACTTTTAATGAAAACTGCATCTTGGGGTCTCCCCTCAGAAAAATGTTAGCATCAGACATTTCTTTTCCTGCATTCTGATCATTATTTATGCTCCACTTTGGACCTTTTCTGCACAGCTTTATGATTATGTTTTAATCTTTTGGTCCTTTTTTGTGTCTTTTTCAAATCTCTTTCAGTGTTCATCAGACACATGTTGACACAATGATGAGTGCTTTCATTTGAATACTTTAATAAACATGTGGACTGGAGAGTTGAAGTAAATCTGCACTATTCCAGCCCTGCAGCTTTATTCATCTCTCTCTCTCTCACTTTGCGTTATTAATCCATTTAAAACTCTGGAATAGTTCTTTCTTGTAAGAGCCGAGGTCACATTATCATCGCTTTAATGCTGAACCTTTAAACTCTTTTTCTGAATACTTTTACAATTTGAGTTTGAAAGAAAGAAAAAGTCACAACTAAACTTTCCCTCCATCACACGACTGTTACAGTCAAATCCTCTCTTTCATCACTTCTCATCGAGGTCTTACCGTAGTTGGTCTTGATCTCTCGTTTGTCCAGTTTGGTGACGATGTCCTCCTTCACACCAGAGAGCTGAAACACACAGTCGTACTTCCCCCAGTCATCAGAGGGCAGTTGAAGGTCAGCGCTGATCTGGAAGGAGCCGTCGTGGTTGGGGAGGATCTCTCCCTTGTCCACGTCCTCGTGAAGCTCCTCTCCATCTTTCCTCCAGAACATCATGGCTCTGTTGGGGTAGAAACCTGTAGCGTGGCAGGTGACCCGAGAGGAGGGAGTCTTCTGGAGGAGAGACACTGTGGGGAGGTCTGGAGGACAAACAGGAAGACAGATTAGAGTTTCTTTATCAGGATTTACTCTTAAATACTGTTACAACTCATGTTTGATGACACTTTTTAAATGTACTGGGAAAAAAAGGGACTTTAAAATCCAGTGAGTCAACAATGAAAATCAACCTTATT